ACGTTTTGAGCAAGAAAATGCAAAGGTAGAGACGTCCTACACCAAAAAATCATACATAGGGACGTTTTCCACAAGACCCATCATAGGTAGAGACGTTTTGCGCCAATTACCCTTATATTTTTGGTACCACAAAAAATTTTGGTACTAAATAATCAAATTACGTTGGCCAACTGTTTTAATTGACAAAGTCACAAATTCCATCAATTTGGATAATAGGTACAAACGTATTAAAGTGAGCAAAGTAAAGTTTGAAGATGAACACCAAACAAGTCAAAAACGCGTGTTAGATAATGTCACGTGAAACTTTTTCCTTATTTAGAGGAACCAAGGGAGTCATACATGTCTATTTTGATATCCTAAGATAAGGTAGCCCGTGTTTGACTACTGATTAATGATTATAAATTATTTATAATCAATAAAATTGTTTTTTATCCATATATTCGGTGACATTTACAAATATTGTTTAATTATCCATAACTTATTTCTATTGATTTATCACTTAAATAGTTTCCAATCAACTCCCATACGTGTTTTAAGTGACTTTAGATATGACCAATGTTTACGCGTATTAGACAAAACAGTACATGACAAGCATGATCAAGCCATGGACCCACCAAGCATGAAAAGGAAGATTTCCCAATGTTGAGGGGAGCCTAGAGGGAATAGATTGTAGCTAGGAATCGATTTTGACAAGGAGCTTTTCCATGACGTGGAAATTAAGGTTACGAACCTGAAAGATATTTACTTGAATCTTCCTCATCAACAAGCTCGTCTGTGTAAGAGGTTCTGCAACTGCGTCACATCTATGACCAACCTTCAAGATTTTTGCAAGATTCTTCATTAACAAGCTCCTCAAGTTTCCTAAGTGGCTTCGACTTGCTATACTAATTAAGAGATCATTGCATATTAAGGCATTACTTGCATGCAACCATAAATTCAATATACCATAACATTAGATATTGTTCAAAAAATAAAGTTAAACCAACCAATGCAGTGTTGCCATTTTGTCATCTGTGATGCTTTCTGTATATTTTATCTGTACAAGGAGCTTAATTCAGATATCATTATATACTAAGGCATTACTCATATGCAACCATAAATTCAAGATATCATAACTTTATCCTCAATTTATATAACAAAACCCTTTTGACCTACGATAAGAGGTAGGCGAGGTTGGGTTGGTTCAGTTTCCAACTGAACTGGCAAGCGAATTGAACAGTTCAATTTGAATAATTTTCAACACAAATCAAATCAACCAACCAACCTATCAATCTTGTTAAAGGCTTTATATGTATTTGTTAAAAACTTAATATATTTAGACCTTAAAAAATTGTTAGGCCATCCAAACATATAAAGTAAAAAAAAACTAATAATATGTTAAACTTAAAAATGAGATAGAGGTACCGATGAATTTGCAAAGATATATTCAATTGATAATATTATAATTATTTTTTTAATTTTCTCGGTTTGGGTGGGTTTCTTTTAGGG